AGAAACATCGATGTGAGAGAAACACATAGATTGGTTGCCTCCTGCTCGCGCCCTGACCAGAGCTGGGGCCCAAGTGGAGCCTGCAACTGAGGTACGTGCCCTTGACTGGAATTGAACCCGGGACCCTTCGGTCCACAGGCTGATGCTCTATCCACTGAGCCAAACTGGCTAGGGCCTTACAAAAGTTCAGAAAGGAAGGGAGAGAGGAGGAGGGGCGGGAGAGAAAGAAAAGCATTGATTTTTGTTGTTTCACTTATTTCTGAATTCCTTGTTTGATTATTGTATGTGCCCTGACTGGGGATTGAACCTGCAACCTTGACTATCCAACCAACTGAGCCTCTAGTTCTTCTTAATATATATATATATATAATGATTTCAGAGAGGGAGAGAGAGATAGAAACATCAATGATGAGAGAGAATCTTTGATTGGCTACCTCCTGCATATCCCCCACTGGGGATCAAGCCTGCAACCTGGGCATGTGCCCTTGACCAGAATCAAACCTGGAACCTTTCAGTCTGCAGGCCAACACTCTATCCTCTGAGCCAAACCAGCCAGGGCCCTCTAGCTCCTCTTATATCCCTGCCCTTTCAGGGAAATCATGTGTGTACAGGCCACTCCCTTTATCTGCATGTCCCATCTTTGGGCAAATTCATCTCCGAGCTGCATATATCTTCTGAGACAATTTCCAAGCCCCTCGACTACATATTCCTGCACCACACCCCACAATAGCCACTGGGGATGATTCCCCTACTGTGCCTAGGGCCGTGTCCACTCTTTGCATGTCCTGAAACCTCTCTGTGTGCGCCCTACCCTATACTGCCACAAGTCACCAACTCACACCCCAGATAAGTAATTGGGTCAAATGTAGCCAAGCAAACATGCCCCCTTCTTGCTCTAGGCCCCTGCCTTCAAACGAGAAGCAGTGCAGAGTAGTGGTTAAACTGACAATTCTGGGAGCCAGACTGCCTGGGTTTGAGTCTCTCTTCTGCCACTTGCTAGCTGTGATCTTATACAAGTTTCTTTCTTTCTTTTTTTTTTTTAAATCCTCACCCGAGGATATTTTTCCCATTGATTTTTAGAGAGTTAGAAGAGAGAGGGAAAGATAGAAACATCGATGTGAGAGAAACACATAGATTGGTTGCCTCCTGCTCGCGCCCTGACCAGAGCTGGGGCCCAAGTGGAGCCTGCAACTGAGGTACGTGCCCTTGACTGGAATTGAACCCGGGACCCTTCGGTCCACAGGCTGATGCTCTATCCACTGAGCCAAACTGGCTAGGGCCTTACAAAAGTTTCTTTCTTTCTTTTATTTCAGAGAGGAAGGGAGAGGGAGAGATAGAAACATCAACGATGAGAGAGAATCATTGGTTGGCTACCTCCTGCACGCCCCTTACTGGGGATTGAGCCTGAAACCCAGGCAGGTGCCCTTGACTGGAACTGAACCTGGGACCTTTCAGTCCGCAGGCAAGTGCTCTATCCACTGAGCCAAACCAGCTAGGGCTTCATACAAGTTTCTTAACCACTCTGAGCCTCACTTCTCCCAATTGGGGATATTAAGAATTAGTACAGCATAGAGATGATGTGAGTATGAATTAGTTAACATACCCAAAGCCTGGCACTTAATAATTTCATCATTATTAGCTTCCGTTCCACTCTGTGTTGGCCAGTACCCTTGCTGTGGCTCACACTCTACTCCCAGTTGCACCCTCCCTCATCTATAAGACCATTCCCACTAGGCCTTGCTCCTTCTGTTGGGCACACCCTTTCCACAGTCGGCCAAGTCCAGCTTTGGCTAACCTGGGACTTCCACATCCACATAGATTCACATGCTCATCACTCAACCTCACAAGCTCTCCTCTCCTACAAAGGTCTTAGTGGGTCACCAGAGACAAGGACCACATCTTCATCTGCATGGGACCATGAAACAGGAACTCCACCTCCTCTAAGAGGTCATGCCCCCATCTTACCTCTCAGATGCTTCACCTTCCCTCCAGTCAGGCCACCTTCTGGTTCTGAAGCTTACAGCAGTTGTCCCACTTCCTGAAGGTTCCCCAACACCAAAAGCCACCCTCCAACCAAAAGGCTTCAAGTGAGGGCCCTATTCCCTCTAAAAGACCCACCCACTTCTCCAACTCTCCCCTTGCCTGCCATTTAACAGACCACTCCTGCCCCTCCACCTCATACCTCCCAACTTTGAGCCCCAGGCTGTAAGTCTTCCTTTTCTTTCAATCTCCCCTCTCAGAGAGACTAGGATTCCTCTTGCTCCTTTCCCTAAAAAAAAAACAGTTGCTAGGGGCTCCCCCCTTTTCAAGGACAGAGGCTGGCTCCTTAAGAAAGCTTGAGCCCACATGTCTCTGATAGGCTGAAAGACCCAAGCAAGCAGCAGAGCAGGCTTCTGATTGGATGTTGCCTCCACCCATGGCAGAAGTGAGGAAATTAACCCCTACAGCACCATAGTGCAGGCATCTGCAGTGGGAGAGGGAGGACTGGAACTGTAGCCCTCAGGGGAAGGGAAGAGCCCCCAGATCTGCTGCCTAGCTAGGGACAGAAGGGAATGAACATCTGAATACATGCTGGGTCTGGGGCCTGAAAACCTCCCTGCACCCCACCAAGTAGTGGCCACAGGTTAGAGAGAGAAAGAAAGAGAGAAGTAGAGAGTCACAAACCAAAAGTTATTTATGGAAATGTATTATCCAGCTCCACTAATCCCTGCTTGGCAAACAGTGGGTACTCAATAAATGTGTGTTCAACATAAAAAGGTTAGGAGTTAGAAGGGTAAGAGCTAGAATCCTGGTTCTGCCGCTTTCTGTATAACCTTGAGCAAGTGACTTCCCTCCACGGGCCTCAGTTTCCCTATCTATAAAATGGGAAGGGTATCATCACTGCTTCACATCAGAGTTGGAAAGATCAAATGAAGCAGCATCTTTGGTAGTACCTTATAAAGGTTTTTGTTCTGTTCATTTGTTTGCCCTCATGTTTGTAAAACTGGGCCAGTGTCTGATCTATCTCGGTGGCCCCAGGGCCCAGCATGAAATGTGACATGCAATAGGCATCTATTCAGTGTTTGATAACCAGATTCTAAAAGAAAAGAAAATGAGGATGACAGAGACAAAGTTTTCAAAGGCATTTACTCATTCAGCCAACAATGGGAAAGCACCTACTGTGTACCAAGACTGTGGCCAAGAGAACCCTGGGAAAGGTGAAGATGGAGGCCAAGAGGCAGGCTTTTTGGTGTAGGTCTGAGCACACCAAAAAATGAGGCTCCCAAAAATAGCTTTAAAACCTCTGGCATTACCAAGTGAAGTCAAACACAGGATTAAGCATACAGCAGATGCTCTACAGTGCACATGAAGGAGACAGAGCCAGGAAGGAGAGCCATTCACAAAGCCCACAACCACTTATCAAGTGCCCACTGTGTGCTATGGCTGTGACTCATACTTAAAAAGCTACCAAGATGAAGGACACTGCAAAGCCAAGGCAATAATTCAGCAAATACTAGCTGCCTCCTTCCTCTGGACCATAAGGTCCCTGAGGGTAGGAACTGGTCTTTTGGTCTCCCAGTGTCCCCAGCGCTCTCAGGGCCTAGCACAGAGCAGGGCCTCAGTGCCCAACAAGGGCGGGAGGGAGAGAAGAGACAGATAGAGGCAGATGTGAAATTAAGAAAATAAGAGAGATGACGGGAGAAAGTAACTCTTTAATGTCTGTCCATACCAGGGCAACGGCTTCTAACCCAGTGGATAATGAAAATAACTTATATTTATATATTTTGGTTTTCTGTTCTATAATGTCCCCAATGTGTTGATACAGAACCCCTGGCATATAATTTATAAATATAAATGTAACTGTTAAATGTGTGTGTGTATGTATGTGTGTGTGTGTGTTTCATGCTCCAAAATGTTTAATTGACAAGGTACATAATCAAACACCTTTGCTGAGCAGGAATATGGACCATAAGCTCCATGGGAGTGGGGATATGCGGGGTACATTCACTGTTATAACTCCAGTGCCCAGCCTGACTCATGTGAATGCTCAACAAAGATTTGCAAAATGCATGAAAAACAGACAGTGAGACAGAAAGTGAGACAGAAGAAGATAGAGCAACTCTGTATGGCCATCTAGAACTCCAGCTGAGCAAGAAGGCCAAGGAAGTGGACAGAAGGGAGAGGGGACCCTTGAGGTGGGAGGAGGCTCTGGGACTGAAGTACCCACCTGTAGACAAGGGAGTCATCAGAGGAGCTGTTGTACTGGACTTGGTACATGCGGATGCCAGGCACCGGCCTCTGCGCTGGCCAGCGGATGAGCACAGAGTTGGAGGTGAGCTCCGCCGCCACCAGCCGGCGCTCAGCAGCAGATTCATTGGCACCAGGTCGGCTAGGCGTGGCAATGTCAGAGGAGCCAGGCTCAGTGAGAGGCGGCGGGGCAGCCGGCGGGGGCGCCATCAGAGGGAGCGGCACCACGCACACCTCCACGGGTGCCGTGGCTTCTCCAGCGGCATTGGAGGCGATGCAAGTGAAGGTACCACTGTCCCGCAAGGTGGTGATAGTTACATCCAGCGTCCCATCCCCCCGGACCCGGGTCCGGCTAGAGTTCCCCAGCAACCGCCCATCAGGTGCCACCCAATGCACCACCGGCTCAGGGTCACCCACAGCACGGCACCGCAGGCTGACTGCCTGGCCCTCCACCACGAGGGCCCGGCCCCCCGCCTGCCGTGTGATCAGCGGGGGTTCGCACAGGAACTCCTCCTCAGGGATGGACCAAAAGTAACGGTCAGTGAGGTGCTCAGGGGTGGCACACGTTTCCAAGTCATCCTCCCTGGTCAGCCGCCGCAGCCAGAGCAGCTCGCAGTTGCAATGCAGGGGGTTGCCACCAAAGCTGACCGTGAGTGGCGTGGGCGGCTTGGGCCCCGGGCCTTGGGACCTCAGGAAGAGCCCATCAGGGGGCAGTTTATGGAGGCGGTTGGAGGTCATGTCCAGGCGAACCAGTTTGTGAAGCTGCACGAAGGTACCTTCAGCAATGTGGTCGATGAGATTGTGGTCCAGCGTGAGGGTGTTCAGGTTCACCATCTGGCCTACGGCCTCCCAGGGCAGGGCCTCGAGGTTGTTGTAGGACAGATCCAGGTCCTCCACAGTGGACAAGAAGGCATCGAAGGCCGCCGACTCCACCCGGCGGATCTGGTTGTTGCCAAGGATCAGGTGACGGAGGTTGCCCAAGCCGCGGAGCTGGTCGCCACGCACCTCAGCCAGGCGGTTGCTGTCAAGGTGCAGAGCCCGGAGGGCACGGAGGTCAGCAAAGGCGCCAGCTGCCACTTGGCCGATGGTATTACGGGAGAGGGTGAGGTGCACCAGGCTGGTCATGTTGGCGAAGTCTCGGCGGCGGATGGCCGCAATGAAGTTGTCTGTGAGCCTCAGTTCCACCACACGCCGGTCAATGGCTGGCGGCACAAAGAGCAAGCCAGTCTTGGCGCACAGCATGGTCAGCGTGGGCGCCACATTCTGGCAGATGCAGCGGCCAGGACAGGGCTGGCCACGAGATGCCCCTGCCCAGAGTAGCAGCAGAAAAGACAGGGCTGCAGGTGGTGGCAAGAGCAGCATAGAGGAGAAGGGGCCGGGAGCCATGGTGCAGTGGGAAGTTGGGAGGAGTGGACAATAAGACCTGAAGGAGAAGAAGACACGTTACCCAGGCATAGAGCTTGCTTGCCAGCCTGGCTGCCCTGGGATGTTCTGCTAGGAGTCTGACCCAGATCCTTCCCTTCCTGACAACCAGGTTCTGTAGGACAGTAACAGCACTGATCCTCACTTGGCATGCATTTGTTAATAGATAATATATTAATGCTGCTTGATAAATTACCACTGTCCCACCCCCGAATGCCCTATACCCACCTCTGCCCCTCCCCTAGGGGTTCCCAGACCTCTCATAATCTCCTAACCAGAGGGGTGACACCTGCCCTGACTGGGCCTTTTAGCACCCACTGAACATTTTGAAAAATCACTGCTAACTAGGGTTTAAATTCATGGATTTCAAAGCCATATTCCCTGGGTTCAAATTCCAGCTGACACTTACTAGCTGTGTGACCTCGGGCAAGTGTCTGAACCTCTCTGAATTTCGGTTTCTTCATCTGTAAAAAGGAGATAAAAAACAAAACAAAACAAAACAAAAAAACAGGCCTTACCTCTGTGAGGGTTAAATGGATTAATGAGAATGGTGTACTACTTATGAATAATGCCTGGCACATAAAATGTGTTCAATACATGTTAAGTGTTATTATCATCATTGAGTGTCCATTATGTGCCAGGTATAGAAGTATGCACTATTATTAAAAGAAAGTGCTTTGGCCCTAGCCGGTTTAGCTCAGTGGATAGAGCGCCGGCCTGCAGACTGAAGGGTCCCAGGTTCAATTCCGATCAAGGGCACATGCCCCGGTCAAAGGCTCGATCCCCAGTAGGGGGCATGCAAGAGGCAGCTGATCAATGATTCTCTCTCATCATTGATATTTCTATCTCTCTCTCCCTCTCCCTTTTTTCTGAAATCAATAGCAATATATATATATATATGAAAGTGCTTTGAAATCAGACAGATTCAGGTTCAAGTCTTGGTTCTACCCACTTGCTAGCTCTGTGACCCCAAACCAATGATTTCCCCTAACTAGGCCATACTTGCCTGTTTTGTAAAATGGGATGATAACTGTACCATCTTCAATGGGTTGTTGCAAGGGTTCAGTAAACTCATTCATGGGGGTCCCTGAGCACAGGCCCGGCACACAGTAAGTATTCATTAAATGTTATGGATAATACCCCACCCCCCCAACCATCCTTTATCAGAGGTAAAGGGAGTCTGAAGGTGGAAGAGGCTGAGAAAACTACATCAGTCTCCCTGCTCAGCCTTGGGAAGTCCTTCTCGAACCTTGGTTTCATCCTGGGCTCTTCTGAGCTCCCAAGCAGAGGGCAGACTTCTGTGCTCACATCTGTGGACACATACAAGACCCCATACATGCCTACACAGCCACACAGACATTCACTCACACACTCATGCTATTTCTCTGCTCCAGGCAAAACCTTCCAGCAGGGATTCCCCTGTGGCAGCTGCAGCCCACGACATGTCAGCTCCCATCACAACATGGGGTTGGTGGGGGTGAAGAGGAAAGGATGCAAAGGGGGCATCCCTGAAACTGTTTTCACTCCATCCTGTACCCCAGTCCCTACTGGCCTACCTCCCAGGAATCTGCAGTTTGGGGCTGTGACCTGGTGTGGCCCTGATCCTTCAGCCCATGGGGAGAGGGACTATAGATGTGGACAGGAGGGACTAAGAGACTCAGAGAGAGGTGAAGAGACAGTGAGAGACAAGGGGGAGGAAGAGATAGATTGGGGGGGGGAGAAAGAGAGAGAGATTTGAAAGAAAGGTGAAGAGACAGGGATTGAGAGACAAAAAAACTGAGTAGAGGAAACAAAAAATAGAGACTAAGACAGAAAGATAGAGAAAGGAAGTGAGAGAGGGAGAGAAAGGAAGAGAGAATCGAATTGTATAGAGAGACGAAGAGTGAGACAGAGACTGAAGGAGACAGTAACTGGGCTAAAGAGAGAAAAAGAGGCCCAGTCAGGGAGTCCCACCATTTCCAAGGCCCCCAACTACCTTGTCTTGCACTCCCTCTGGGACACTGTATTGGACAGAAAACCCTGGCCTGGAAGGTGGAACTCCTGAGTCAGGAGGCCCCGCTCTACACCTGTCTGGCTGTGGGTCTCTAGGGCTCAGAACCCCAATCTGAGCCCTAGAGAGAAGTACAGAGCTTCACCTCCCACCGCTGGGGTGAGACTCAAGTTGAAGGAACTACAATAGCAATGAAAATAGCTAACATTTATTGAGAGGCAGTGCAGCATTGCAGGACAGAAACTGGACCCAGCTGCCCAGGTTCACACCCCAGTTCCCTGCTGTGTGACTCTAGTCAAGTGACTTACCTTCTTTGTGCCTTACTGTGCTCCTCTGTAAAATGGGGATAATAAGAGTACCTACCTCATCAGGTTATTGTAAGGATTATATGAGATAATGCAGTGTAACATGATTAGAATAGCTCCTGACAGAGTAAACACTACATAAATGTCTACTGCTATTGTTGTGATTTCCCTCTGGCTCTTTCAGCCACCAGCAGGCTGGACTACCAGGAGATCTTCCCACATACACACACAAAATGGTCAACCACATTCATGTCATTCTCCAAATGCAGGGGTCAGTTCATGTCATGAACTCTCTTGTACCCTTTACTGCTATCATGAGGAAACCCCTCCATCTGCTATCCATGCCCTGGTTCTATGAGCCCTTACCCAAACATGATGCTCCTGACCTTGTCACCACCCCATCCCTAGCCTGGGTGGCACCTGGCCCCTCAGGACACTGCCAGACCCTGCACTGAAATCCTTATGAGGCAGGGCTCCAGGCTTCCAGAGGGGCTCAGAACAAGACCAACCACTCCACATCTCCCCAGCAGGAGGGACCCCACTCACCTCTCTTCAGGGAGTCAGGGCCTGGGCCAGTACCTACAAAGAAACAAAATGACCCTGTTAGCATCCTTCTGGTTCCTCACTGGAGACCTGCCTCAGAGACCATCTCAGCCAAGGAAGTCCCCGGTGTGATCACACTCTCAGCCCTCCTGCTGCAGGCTCTGCATAAATGCAGATGGACCCAGAGAGTAATCTCTAGAAATCAAGGAGTCTTGGCCTCAGAATTGTTTACTCTCCAAAATTCAGGAGTCCAGGACTTTAGCCTTTGTCCTCTGGGGTCTCAAGAAGCCAGTGACACCAGCTCCCTTCTTCCTAGACCTAGAATCTGGAACCCCACCCTTCTCCTCCCTCAGACTCAGGAGCCCAGGTTTCAGCCCCTTCCATTCTCAAGACCCAAAAATTGGGCCCATTCTCCTTCTCCTTCAGATCCAGGATTCCAGCTTCCTCCTTCCAGAGTTCACATCCCAGTCCCCCAACTTCAAGGACCTAAGTAGTACCAGGAGCTGGGGAGGAATCAGAGGTTCCCATGCTCACCATCAAATCATTGTCACACCAACATGTGCAGACACACCAAACTCACATGGGCCCACAACTCAAGTCTCTACACTTGTATCTCCATAGACACACCAGCATGATCTCTGTGCCCCCACCCTCCACTGGCTCTTGGCCTGGGATGTGGACACATTTGTGTCCATGAGCCCCAGGCTGGACCCCAGCATACCACAGATCACGCCACAGGAACCCCAATCTCACTGGGTCCAGAAGCATGGTCAGCCTTGTGCCAGGGACACAGGCATGTGTGTGCATACAATCCTGCACATAATGTTTGAACAAACACAACCTCACTCTTGAGAGACCAACACTGATGCATAAATGAGCTCACAATATAGACAGACACATACCCTCAAGATTGTCACACCCACATACAACCACACATGTACAATATTGACTCTTTCTTGCACATTCACATACACAAATGCACACACACCGATGTGCACACAGATGCGCGCACGCACACACGTATCTATCTTTGCAGACAACCAGGTACATGCACCTATAACAGATATACTCTTGCACCAACACACAGGCATACACATATAACAGATATTCACTTGCACGATCAAGGATACACAGACACACTCTTAAATGCCCAAACATGCTCAGACAACTTCACATATCCCCATGATGCAGTCACAAAGCTGATATATTCCTACACCAAAAGACGCACAAATGTACACACTAACTGATATACACCTCACACACATACACAGAACCACAAGTATGCAGACACTTACAAGGCTGATACACACTCAAACAAGCACAAGGTACAAAAAGATCTACCTTTTGCACAGACACCGAGATGTTAACTCATAACAGAAATGCTCACACACAGCCCTGTAAGGGATTTACACTTACAAATGCACACAAAATATTGAACCACAGTGACATAGTCAACAGATAGGCACAGATTCACACTCACACACATACATGGACACACATCTCTCCCAGTCCTGAGGCACTCTTGCCCACCTACTTTGCAGGCCAAAGAAATCCTAACATCCCTCCTTCCCACCATACCTGCCCCCACCACCACAGCAAAAGCCAGGGCCAGAGGTCAGAGTTCAGCAGGTCGAATCTCAGGGGGTTGGGGAGCTGAGTCCTAAAGCACTAGTCCAAGGCGATCCTCCCACCAGCAGCCCAAAGGTCCCCTAGCCTGGCCATCTGGATGCAGGCAACTCTGGCCCCATCTGGGGAGATGTGGTGGGTGTGGGGATTGGGGTGGGGTGGGTGGGGAAGGGCCAGGTCTGCATGCCTCCCCTTGGGCCCATCTGTCCATCCCTCGGCCTCTCATCCCTCCATCTGTCCACCTACCAATCGCCCATCCCCCCCACCACCACCAGCCACCGGGAAGGGGAAGATATGGCCGTCTCCCCCAAGGACCACTGAGGACCCCCCCATTCCCCCCCTCCCACACCAGTTGACCTGGACCGAGGGAGAGGCAAACTCCCCTCCCCCAAACCACACAGAGGCCTGGACCCACAAGGCGCTGAGTCCCAGCCCTGGCCCGGAACCTGACGTGGACGCACAGATACACACCCTCGGAGACATACAACCCGCAGACCACACATACACACACACACACACACACAATATGAACACCAGAGCGGGCACACCCGCCTTCACAGACCCTCGGATGGGCATCCAACCCGGACACAAACACCCAAGGCAGCTAGCTCAGCGCACACACTGGCTGGGGGGACTCACACCTGGACACACAGCCCACGCACACACACCTGCACACAGCCCCTCCGATGGGC